CGTGACTCCTTCATGCCGCCAAACAGCAGTGCCCTGGCCGGGGAGACGCGCCATCAAGCGCCGTCCACAGCCGCCGCCGTCAACGCTCACCACTGTCATCAGCACGGTCACACTGCGTCGTCCACGGCCGCTACCGTCAACACGGTCACACTCCGTCGTCCACGCCCGCCACCATCAGCACGGTCACACTCCGTCGTCCACGGCCGCTACTATCAGCAAGGCCATACACCGTCGTCCACGGCCGCTGCCATCAGCACGGTCACACTCAGCCGTCCACGGCCGCTGCCATCAGCAAGGCCATACACCGTCGTCCACGGCCGCCGCCATCAGCACGGTCACACTCCGTCGTCCACGGCCGCCATCATCATCCACACTCCATCCAGAGTCGCTGCCATCAACAGTCATCGCCGCCCACAGCTGCTGCCATCACACGGTTACACCGGTCCGATCACCACGACACCGCTGACACGTACTGTGGCCTGCCCGTCCGCCTCCAGACGCGGTCCCGGACCCGGCTCGACAGGCACAGCCCGGCGCACCGCGGTCTTCCGCTCTACAGCCGACCCCACGGTCCATTTACCTGTATTGTTAACTTACTGGGTTTGACATTCCATTGCATAGCCCCCAGCACAACAGTACTTTTCGAGGGCACATGACAGACTACAACGATAACGATACGAGCCCATGGTCCACCACTTACCTGCACTGTTAACGCTGGAGTTTTCAAGATTTCATCATGAAACTTGGATGTTTTCGTGGCGCTATTCGACCCTAAGCAATTTGTGCGGTACACTGGCGCACCAGCAAGCTGACGGTACCACATATAATTGGCAGTCGTTAGTACCGCCGGACCACCAGACCGGGTGGGCGCGGCCGACTCACCTGAAGTACTCGCTGCGGGCGGCCAGCACGGAGCGGTGGGCGCTGAACCGGTGCCCGTCCACCACCAGCACGACGTCGCTGAACTCTTCGGAGCGGCACAGCAGCGCCAGATCCTGCGACAGCTGGCTCACGTGGTCGACCTCGCCGCAGCCACGGCCGGCCGCCACCAGGCCCTGGTGCTGGTCACTCATGGCGGCGCGCCGCTGCCTGGCTCCGGCCGCCGCCCTGTCAGTCAGACCGCGCTCGTCAGCGGTTAGTGGCCTCCCTGCCAGTCAGACCACGCTCGTCAGCGGTCATCGTCAGTGGTCAGTGGCCACCCTGCCAGTCAGACCACGCTCGTCAGCGGTCAGCGGCCTCCCTGCCAGTCAGACCGCGCTCGTCAGCGGTCAGCGGCCGCCCTGCCAGTCAGACCGTGCTCGTCAGCGGTCAGTGGCCGCCCTGCCAGTCAGACCACGCTCGTCAGCGGTCATCGTCAGTGGTCAGCGGCCTCCCTGCCAGTCAGACCGCGCTCGTCAGCGGTCAGCGGCCACCCCCCAGCAGCGCGCTCGTCAGCGGTCAGCGGCCTCTTGCCAAGCACCAGCCTACCAACACTGGGTGTCAATATTCAACTGTTCTGAAATTAGGTGCTGAGATCAGAGTTATAAATGGGATGAAAAGCTTGTGGTAACCAAGCCATATGTCTCATACAATTCTGCAATCTTAGTGCAAACTTTATGTTCTGGGATCCATCATCCCTTTGATCTGGTTTGTGCCGCAGCAAACTTTTGGATGCTGACATGTGGCAGGTATATAGCCCTGAGTCGTGATGCTGTGGTGACGTGGCTTGTCTCAGCAGCAAATTTGTGACTAAATGGCCAAGACAGCAAGCTGAACAGGACCTGCCATCACATGGTGTCATCTGGCTCTTAGAAAACTTCGACAAAATTGCTCTTTGAACTGCAGTGGGTTTGAGTTTGAAACAAGCTATGTTTGGTAAACAATAGTTCTAAAGCCATCTCTACCTTACAATACATTCTGAGCAATTTATATGTCAATAATTAATGTAAACCTTATTATTTTGCCTCATGCCAAGTATCCTTATCAGTTTGTCTACCTTATCTAAAGCTTTGCAACATGGCTTACATATCATGCCCATTATACAGGAAGCAACTCTACCAGCCAAGTTCTTAGTTGCTAGTTGTATGTGAAACATCCATATTCCACTACACAATCTGCAAAGCATACACAAATCCATGTTATAGAATGCACCCTTAGTCCTGTCATCCAATGAACCCAAATTCCTCATTGCAACTGTCACACCAGTTTCAAATACTTAAGGTGTTGCACAACTTCAAGTCTTAGGACCCCTGGCAGTTGCCTTATCCTTAAACTACAGGTGGCACATTATTTGAAGCTCTGGCTTCACAGCTATGTGCAGCTGTTTATGCAGAGTGTGGGATGTACAATGGCAAGCACTTGTATCCATACTAAAGGGAATGTTCTACATTCAGAGGCACTGAACCATGCACCATCTGTGATGAAACAGTCATTTATACTATTGGTATGCTTTTAAGGGGGAAAACTGCTGTAGGCAGTTCAATTCTCTGTTAGTAAACATGTTCCTCAATACATCATGATTTCATTGTATCATTTACCTAGCATACCATTGATTGAGAGCCAACTAGTGGCTGTTATGTCAGGGGACTGAGCTCATGAAAACAGAATGAGCCCCCGGACAATTTTATTATTTCATTTTGCAGGATTTTGGCGTTATCATGACATCATGGATGCCAAAGTGTCTTTGATATGCAATTCTTGATGTCCCTTTTCTCATTTTCTTAGATGTGTAGTTCAGAGACAATGGGGTTATGTCTTAAGAATGGCAGGATTTGAACAGCACCAGGCTATTTCAGTTCAAAACTCACATAACTGTGGAGCACCCCTTTAAGGAAATTGGTCTTTGTGGGTAAAGTGTGTGCTACTATCTGGTGACAGCAATAAACAATCATTTCTACCTTTTGTCACTCCCTGACCTTGAAATGCACCATCCTTGAGCATGTAAAATGCTTCAGTGAGCCATGTGGTGGTGAGTAGGGCATGATAAACATGGAAAGCACCATGGGTAAACCATTTTTAATGCATGAACCATAACTGAGCTAAGACATTATGGATATATTATATATATATATATATAATGAAGTATTTACTAGTGAGATCATCAGCTGGTATATCAACACTTAACATACACCAGTGGAAAATATAACCATATACAATGACTGACTGCATCAGAATGTCTCTGCTCAAAACATTAAGAATGTGAGTATTACTAGCATCTACCTGCTGGCTGCTATCCACAATTTTCTTTAGAATTACTGCTGCAGGGGTAAATTTCCAGTGACAAGAAAGATGTCAGAGCTGACATAGCCTGAAAGCTGAAAACTTGCTATATCTGCAAAGGAAAATATATATTGTAAGGATCTGTCAATGCATTGTTCCCTTCTTTCTTTTTGCTGTTGTTCTAATGTCAATAAAACTGGCAATTTATCTGCTGCTAAGTGTTACCTGAACCTTGCACCATGTACATGTAATCAAATGCTGACTTGCAGACCAAGTATATGTTCACCTATTGACCAGTCTGCAAACTGAGGCTGATTTGTACAAGATCCTGATGGGACAGACCTGGGTAAAGCTTTATAATCAGAACAGCTTCTCAAAACTCTGACAGACATTGTGGAACTGGACTACTGATGACATCATAATGTGTCCTTTGAAATTCAAAACTGACAGGACCACAGAAAATGACAATATCTGAGGGTGGATCTCAATTTTTTTGGAAGGGAACCTGCATCACCACCAAACGTAACCAGATAGGCACATTTATTATGCTATTTTGGGTAGGATTCTGTCCGTCCGAAATATAGCATTGGCAGGTTTGCCACAGCTTGCATACTGAGCAGTAGGACGTGTTCCCACGTCTTAAAATGCGATATACCTGAGCAGGTATTGCACTGTACACTACGGACCCAATCTAATTTCATTGATTACTTTTCACACATATTTAACACATCCCCTGTTTCTTTCTACGACATGACAAGTACTACTAATGCGCAACAAATACTCGTAACCCAAATCGCAGCACGCACCCCCAAACAACCGTCACCACCAATCTCAATGATCAAAACAAACAAAAAAATGTAAAAGCTCCGTTCTTCATTGACAGACATGGCACAAAAGCTACCAACTTATGACGTCAAATTACCATAAATATGAAATGAACATACGTTTCTTTTGATGAGGAAGACTCAGTCTACATTAAATGAATTCCAAGTATTGCTCAAAATCCAGCAGCTCTTTCCTAAAATTTCACACTAGTTCTTATTTTATTATGGGCGACTAATTGCCTGAACTTTAAAGACCTTTAATAAACCTCCTGATTAAGAAATCAAAGGCTTATGTGACGCAGATGATACGTATGCAATTTTCGCCCACCATAAACAAACATCTCTGACCCACATCACACTTGCATGGGTCCCTTGCTGGTTTAACGTCTTGAATTTAGTGTTTAGAAGAGCCGTGGGATCTAGAGCTTGGTTCGTGAGAAGCGTAGGTGTGTGATTTGTCTTGTGAAGGGAATTACAGAGACGCTCTAGCCTCAGAGAAATATTCAGCTTGTGTTTCTGAAGAGCTGACCCTATTATTGACACTCCTTGCCAGTTGGTTCAGGAAGAGATGGGCTCAAAATAAAACTATAGTACAGTGGAAGGAATTTTGACTCGATTTAGGTTATCATGATGGCCATTGTAATTCCATCTGAAGCTTAATGTACATCATTAAGTATCCAATGCATTTTCTTTTGGCATGTATTACATTTATATCCATAAATATGTTGCTGCCTGGGCAAATGGATAGGCAGGTAATATACAAACAGAACAGATTGCCTATGTAAATAAAATGTGTTCCCAATAAGACATAATTGGCTGTCTATAGGTAGGAAGTCCCCTATGTATATATGGAATAGCCCAAGACTAACTGATAAACTCTTGTTACCAAGACTTGATTGATTTTGAGCTTTTATTACATGTTTGTTTACTGCTATGCCAAAGAAACCTCATTGCTCTTAATTTTCTTTACAGCAAACCATGGACCCACTGAAGATTGGCATCATAATAGGTATGACTTAGCATTACAGGTGGTAGAAGGGATTTTTAACTTTGCTTGCCAGTTGATTTTCAAGTCAAGTAATATCTCCTGTGTTGGATCTGGTGCATTCTATTTTAAAGTTTGCATGCTGGTATCACAGAATTGTCAGAATACTGACATAAAAGCTGTTTGTATTTAATCTGTATGTTCAACTTAGAGAAAAGAAGAGGGTAAGTATTATTCAAACACCCTGCACATGCTCAGGCTTCATCAAGTTCTTCCTGTAGGCCTGTGCTCCAACTGCCTTTGAGGCTGCAGTGTGTGGGGTGGGGTGGCAGATGGACGTACCCCACTGATTGTGTCCTGGGCCCCAGTGAGTGACCGGGCGGCGGCAGGCAGCTCAGCCGACCTGACTGGGCCCCGGCTCAGCGCGCTGCTCGAGGGCGGCGAACTCTTCGTGGCCAAGCTCGTCCAGCGGATGGTGGTGGCTGATGAGCGCGCCGACATACAGGTGTGACTCCAGCGACAGCAGGGACCCTCCCGAAACACTGACCAGCGTGTTCTTAGCTGCCGGACCCGTCTGTGGAGTGAACAGAGCGAATCCAGTCCGCCGGCGAGGTCCTGCTCGGAACAGCAGCTAATGAGCACCTGGGGCGAATGGGCCTGATCTGGCTAGGAGGGTCAGCTACACGTGGTGGCCAACGAGCTCCACTGTAATGGACGGTGCGACGAAGTCGCAAGACTTCGTTGCAGCCGACGCATTTGCGTGACCTCTGGAGGCCGGCGTCTGACGCGGCCTCTCCACTGTCTGCAGGCGGCCGTGACCGGGCTCTCGGACCGCTGTGACGTGCTGCTGACCTCGGGCGGCACGGGGTTTGCGGCGCGGGACGTGACGCCCGAGGCTGTGGCGCCGCTGCTGGAGCGGTCGCGCCCGGCCTGCTGGCTGCCATGCTGCACGGCTCACTGGCCGTCACCCCCGCTGGCCATGCTGTCGCGGTACGGCGGCGCCCGCGTTGCCCTCCCCTGGCTATGATGACGCGGGTATCAGTGCCTAGCTCCTGCCTGCGGTATATCAGTGCCTAGCTAGTGCCTATCCCCGTGCTGGCCCCTTTTGCAGTAATAGCCACCTGCAGTCGTCGGCCGTCCTGAGTCCCTCTCATGTATCGGGGATCTGTGTAGGTGTACCTCCAGCTAAGATATTAAATAGGACGTTAACATGTCTCCACCTCCCGACCACTGGGCACCCTCGGGTCAGCGGGGTCTGAGCCGCCGTCCTGTGGCCGGCAGGCCGGTGGCCGGGGTGCGCGGCCGGTGTGTGGTGGTCACGCTGCCGGGCAGCCCCAAAGCGGCCGAGGAGTGCGTCCGGCTGCTGGCGCCCGGCCTGCCGCACGCCGTCGACCTGCTGCGGGACCGACGGACGCGCGTGGAGCATGTGCACCTGCAGCTGCAGAGCGATACCGTGCCCCAGCGGGCCACGCCGACCGCCGGCGGAGATGAGCACTACTGTCAGCACCAGCACCAGCACCAGCACCAGGCCGGCTCCACGGTACGACGCCCGCCACGAGGCTGTCGATGAGTCTTCCGCGCCCTGTTGCTTCGCGCCATGGTGCGATATGACAGGCTGCTCCTAAACAGCGGCGCCCAGAGGTGACACAGTGGAGCCGGCGGCGCCGCTCCTAAATAGCGGCGCCGTTGATTGAGCCGCGTGTCAGCGCCCGAGTCCCCCCGGCTCGAATCTCCGAGCTTCGTGAATCGACACCTGCGATGGCGGGGTGCGGCAGTCCGGTGGCCGCGCGCCAGGAGCGGCCCGTGACCTGTCCACCCCCGTCTGCGCCGCAGGTGGACCCATCTCAGGTGTCGCGCCGGCACCGCCGCTCGCCGTACCCACCATCCCCGTGGCCAGGGCGCAGGAGGTCGTGATGGACGCCGTGGCTGGCTACGAGCGCGCCGTCGAGACGCTCAACATCACGTGAGTGGCCGTCTCTCGGAGAGGGCCGCCCGGTCTGGAGACGGACAGATGCGGGCTGGCTGGGTCTGTCGAAGTGAGTTGGAGTCAGCTGGGGATGCCCTGCGTGTGTCAATAAGTGGAGCCGGCTTGATGACTAGGGCACTGTTCGAGCGTGTGCACCCATGGAGAGGTTAGAGCCAGGGCGGGATGGGAGGCCTTTGTCATGCTTTCAACAACGCACTGATTATGTTTGGCCTAACGGATGGGATGTACCAGTACACCGTATTGTCCCGTGTCCCGTCCTCGTCCAGAAACTCGTCATTCGGTCGCTACTAACGTGCGTGTACTGCGAACCACTGCCAGAAGTCTGTGGCGCCTTGGGGCTGGTTCATACCATCTGGTTTGCTGGCGCTTGCTCAGCCCGTGATCATCGTCGTATCTGTTTCAGTGCCGCGCAGGACCGCGTGCTGGCAGAGGACATCGTGGCTAAGGTGCCACTGCCACCTTTCCCGGCCTCGGTGAAGGATGGCTACGCCGTCTGCTCGGCAGATGGTGTTGGCGTCAGACATGTGCTGGGTGCCTCCAACGCTGGTGTGGACGTAAGCAGAAGCAAGATGCGGAGATGGGCCCACTTCCGACGTCGAGTGTTTGCGCTGCCTGTGGCGTGCCGCGGCTCGTTCTCGCCGTCCGCGGACGTACCCGGCCCGCGCTGCGGCCGCTGACCCTCCGTGCGGTGCGCAGGGTGACGGCGCGGCGTCCACCGTGCGGCCCGGCACCTGCGTGCGCATTAGCACCGGCGCTGCCGTACCGGCCGGCGCTGACGCCGTCGTCATGGTGGAGCAGACCCGGCTGGCGGAGGCGTCCGAGGACGGCACGCGCGAGCTCACCGTGGAGATCCTGGAGGCGCCGCGCGCCGGCCAGGACATCAGGTCAGTGGGATGGCAGGGTCAGGGGGCAGGAATCGGGTCAGAGGATGGCAGGGGTCAGATTAGAGAAGTGGTAGGAGCTAGGTTAGAGGAGCGGCAGGGATCAGGCCAGGGGATGGCAGGGACCAGCTCAGAAAAGTGGCAGGGGTCGACCAGGCGAGTGGTAGGAGCCAGGTTAGAGGAGCGGCAGAGATCAGGTCAGAAGTGGTTGGGGGTCAGGTTAGTGGAGCAACAGGTGTCAGGTTAGAGAAGCGGCAGGGGTCAGGACAGCGGGTGAACACATCAGTATAAAGACGGCAACGGAAGGAACGTAATGTGTACGCGGCAGATTTACCACCTGCGTGTTGCTGGCCCTTCCCAGCGACGTCATGACCGAGCGGTCAGCAGGATCGGCCGCCTTGTTAGGGGTCGCTGCCTGCTGCTGCGGGCTGCGACCGGCGCCTTCCCCGCACACCCGCCTGGTGTCCTCCGGCGCTGTCGCTGAGATGTGCTCTCCCCTTAGTTGTTATGGCGTGCCCCTGCGATGTTCCCGTGCCTCTGTCGTGACGCGCCCCGCGGTGTTCCCGTACCACTGTCGTGACGCGCCCCGCGGTGTTCCCGTGCCTCTGTCGTGACGCGACCTGTGGCGTTTCCGTGCCACTGCCGTGGCGCGCCCCTGCGGTGTTCCCGTGCCTCTGTCGTGACGTGCTCTGTGGTGTTCTCGTGCCACTGTCGTGACGCGCCCTGTGGTGTTCCCGCGCCACTGTCTTGACGCGCCCCTGCTGTGTTCCCGTACCACCGTTGTGACGCGTCTTGCTGTGTTCCCGTATCACTGTCGTGACGCGCCCCTGCTGTGTTCTCGCACCACTGTCGTGACGTGCCTCTGCTGTGTTCCCGTACCACTGTCGTGACGCGCCCCTGCTGTGTTCCCGTACTACTGTTGTGACGTGCCCCTGCTGTGTTTACGTACCACTGTCGTGACGTGCTCCGTCTCGGTGCCGTTTCAGGCCGGTGGGGAGTGACATCGCCAAGGGCACCCTGGTGCTGGACTCCGGCCGCCGGCTCGGACCGTTCGAGCTCGCTTCGCTGGCTGCTGTCGGTGTCTGTCAGGTCACAGTGTTCAGGTGAGGGCCCGTCCCGTGCAGAGGTCAGGTCAGGGCACTGTGATATTAGGGGGGTGTGCTTTACCACTGCCACCTCAGTTGGGCTGGGAAGTATGTCCTGCCTAGTCATGTGTTGTATGTTGTCTGGATGTGTCATCACTTGCACCCAGCATGAGCTGACGGTGGCCAGAGGTGATGTGTTGTCTCCTGTACCTGGA